ACACTGGTGATGATAATAGAATCAGGGGCATAGAAAGGGAGTGGACTGACTTTGGGGGGAAAGGTTGTGGGGGATGCAGGAAGATACTGAACAAAAATCATGCACCTATGGCTGAGGACAGTGGGGGGGAGGGTGAGTGCAGAGGGGGCGTGGGATACCGGTGGAGGGGAGCTATGGGGGGAAAAAGAGGAACAATTATAATAATCTGATTAATAAAGATTTAATTTCTTTAAAAAAATAGAGCATGGATGTTGGAATGCTTCGATTCCTGTATCCTTCCCAGTCAACATTCTTAACACGTGGGTCTTCAACAATGATGGGGGAAGCGAGGCAGCCAGGGGTTTATCAAAGGTCACACTCAGAAATGTGTTATGCGTTTGCTGCCAATGATATCTAACCCGTCTCCTTTTATTGAAGTTCACTCCTTTGAATCTTGACAGTCCAAGTTTTAACCTATATGAGGACACTTCACAGTTGAACCTTTGCAGAACAATACATTTTAACATTTTAGAACAATACAAGCTAATTAGGAAGCAACCTGTTATTTTCACAGCATATTTGTGTGAAAAGAGCAAGGAATATCCCCAGTAGGGAGTATGCAGAGCAAGTGAAGGTGTGCCTCTTGGAATGAAGCTGCATGAGAGGAGTGTGGTTCAAAGAATTATGTGGGGGGAAAAAATGATGTAGTGAAATGTAATGGCCTCAGCAATCTGGGTTTGAACTCAGAAGGCTGAAGTGTGACACCATGTTTTTGGTGTCCTGGAGGGAAAATTGCGAGAAAAAAAGCATATTACTTAAAAAGACCAGTGACAAATCACTCACACTCCCTTTATGTGCAACAGCTCTCATTACCCTAACACGTGACACCCACCGTTATTGAGTATGGTCAGTGTGACTCACATAAAGACCCAGAGTACAGGTATCTTCTATCTGCTCAACTGTCTTTATTGTGGGAAGACACAGCATCAGTGGGAATGTAAGGAGAGTTTGACTTTGATGGGACCAAGGCCTGCTATCTTCTCTGATGTGAGGAGTAGAGGGAGCAGATGGATGTGGTGGGTTAAGACTTTGACAGACGTGGGATATTAGGAGAGAATCTGATCATGGTCTGTACTGTCCCCACTATGACAGGATATGAACTTTGAGGACGTGGCCGTTGCCTTCTCTCAGGAGGAGTCGGGGCTTCTTGATGAGGTTCAGAGACATCTGTACTGCGATGTGATGCTGGAAGTGTTTGCACTTGTAGCATCTGTAGGTAAGAACTTCACATCTCTCCTTGTGTCCTGAGGTGATGTTCTCTCTTACTTTATTCTCCAGGCATAGCACTCTATCTCTCACAGCCAGACCATGGGTTCTGCAGATATTCCTCACTGTCTTTTCAAATGGGCTGTGGCTGCCAGTGCTGAGCTCTGTGAAGAGCCCTGAGCAATAGACTCCACAAACTTCTCTTACAACATTTGCCTCAGGAAGTGCAGGAAATTTCTGGAAGTCAGGGATCTTACAGACAGCTTAATGGATCCCACCTACTGTTTCTCTTCCTGGGAGGGTGACTATATTCGGATCCATGGCTTCCACTTCTGCCCCTTTCCTATAGCTAAATTCCTGGGTGACTGTCTGTGCCAGATTATGGTCTTTATTTGCACGAACCATGGGCTATTCTTGTAAGACCCTCCTTCATACCAGGAACCAGCTCTTTCCCATCAGTGTTCAGATGCAAGTGCCACTGACTACATCACGTTTCTACCTTATCTTTTACCTACTTTACTCTATCTGACATGTCACTTCACCTGTGACTTCCTGTCTTCGTGCTATGTTAACATTGTGGCATTTTTACATCACCTGTTCCTCTGGATTGCTGCCTCTGCAGTATTTTTTAAACTGACTTACACATGTGTTATGAAGTGCACATACATGCTTAAGTAGGTTTCAAACACCAGCTACTCATTTATTGAATTTTTCTTTAAATAAGACATAAGCAAAATTCTGCACAGTTTGCCTATGTCACCTGCAGACAAGCCCTACTGAACACTGTTAGCCTAAGAAAGGGCTGGAAGTCTTACCTCTCTCCCATGTGGTGCTTTTCTTCTTTGTGTCATATTCCCGGGGTAGTCTTCCTTCTTTTATGATCTGCAGAGGCCCAGAACTTCACAGAAGCCTCTTATTAATGCTTCCTGCACATCTCTTCTTTTCTGAAAATTGCATGGAGCCCAGCTCTCATGGGCCACCTACTTTGTAATGGAACTTCCCCCTGTCACTGCAGTCTTCATTCATTTCCTCACCTCTTTTTCTGTTTTCAGGTTGTTGTCATAAAATGGATAATGAGGAGGCCTATTCTGATCAGAGTGTTTCTGTGCAAGGAGAGTCACGTGTCAGGGCTTCTAAGACAGCCCCAGCAACCCAGAAGTCGCATTCCTGTAAGCAGTGTTTCTCAGTGTTAAAAGATATTTTGCACCTGACTGAGTCACAAGCAGAATACTTTGAGCACAAATGCTTCTTCAGTGAGGCATGTCTAAGAGGCTTCTGTTTCAGTGAAAACCCTCACCAGCAACAAAAGGATGTCAGTGGGGAGACCCTGCAAAGCAATGCTTCTTCAGTGATGCATGTGTGAGAGACTTCTGTTTCAGTGAAAACCCTCACCAGCAACAAAAGGATGTCAGTGGGGAGACATCCTGCAAAGAAGCTATGGACGGGCCCTCATTTGTGACCAGGTGCAGCTTCTACTTCTCAGAGGTGCCTTCAAAGAGCAAGGAGGTTGGGAAAGACATCCAAGCTCCCTCAGAGCTTCTCCAGCCCCAGGCTTTTCAGAACACTAAAGAACCACACTGTGGCAGTGAGGTTTCACAAGAATATCTCAGTGGAAAAGGTCATCACCAGTGGGGAGAAAGTGAAATAGCTGCCAGACAGAAACAGAAAGTTGTTGAATCTCAGGATGTCTGTTCTGGAGAACTGGTTTATGAGTGTGACACATGTAAGAAAGTTTTCAGACGAAAGTTTAATCTCATTATACATAAGAGAATTCACACTGGAGAAAAGCCATATGAGTGTACAGATTGTGGAAAGTCCTTCAGTAACAGTTCCACCCTCATTCAACATCAGAGAATTCACACTGGAGAAAAGCCTTATAAGTGTAGTGAATGTGGGAAGTCCTTCAGATATAAGTCTTATGTCAATCAACACCAGCGAGTTCACACTGGAGAAAAACCATATGGGTGTACAGGTTGTGGAAAGTCCTTCCGTGAGAGTTCTACCCTCATTCGCCATCAGAGAATTCACACTGGAGAAAAGCCTTATGTGTGCAGTGATTGTAGAAAACCTTTCAGATATAGGTCTGATGTCAATAAGCACCAGCGAGTTCACACTGGAGAAAAGCCATATGAATGTACAGATTGTGGGAAATGCTTCAGTAAGAGTTCCACCCTCATTCAACATCAGAAAATTCACACTGGAAAAAAGCCTTATGAGTGTACAGATTGTGGGAAATCATTTACCCAAAAATGTAACCTTATAAGACACCTGAGACTTCACAGTGGAGAAAAGCTTTAAATGATTAGGGAATGTTTCCTTTATCTTACTCAGAATAACAACACTGAAATTGACGTTTCAGTGCACTGGATGACACCCACCCAGATGAGGTACATAGTTAAAGCAGAGTTTATTCTGCTATATTTACGTATTATTTATTTTTCATACCAACAACTCTAACCCTACATTTTCCACACTCTACATTTTCCTCCCTCCCTTTTATAATCTGTCTTTCTGACTTTCCCAGTCTTCCATGCAATCATTCATTTTCCATCCTTTAGATTAGTTCATATTTTTTATAATTTTTTCTGCACTATAAGGTGTATACTTTTTTACAAATACTGCTTTTCTTAATGCCACAGATATTTTGAGATCCAATACAAATTTATTATGTGAATATTGAATTTGTTTTATTGCTGAGTATTGTGTTCTATTGGTAACAACTTTATATATTGAGCTCTCTATAAAATTGGTTATTTCCAGATTTGGGGTATTATAAATAAATCTGTTTGGAATATTTGTGTTCCGTTATTTAATAGATCTTTTACTAGTCAAACATTTGCAATCTAGGTTAATATTTCACATTTTAACATTTGCAGAACTGTGATCTAAAATGGTCATGCACTTTGCTTTCCCACCCAGGAACAGTATATAAAAATTCCAGTTTTTTTCAACCCTGCCATTACATTTGGTGGTTAATCCTTTTAAATGGTAGGCCTGGAATTGCCTATATGTGAAATTGCTTTCGTTTTAATTCTATTCCATAAGGATTTTTGATGGTGAACATTTTTTTAATATGTTTTATTGATTTTTTACAGAGAGGAAGGGAGAGGGATAGAGAGTGAGAAACATCGATGAGAGAGAAACATCGATCAGCCGCCTCCTGCACATCTCCCACTGGGGATGTGCCTGCAACCCAGGTACATGTCCTTGGCCTAATCGAACCTGGGACCTTTCAGTCCGCAGGCTGACGCTCTATCCACTGAGCCAAACCGGCTTCAGCGTGAACATTTTTTTAATTGATTTTTTTACAGAGAGGAAGGGAGAGGGATAGAGAGTTAGAAACATCGATGAGAGAGAAACATCGATCAGCCGCCTCCTGCACATCTCCCACTGGGGATGTGCCTGCAACCCAGGTACATGTCCTTGGCCTAATCGAACCTGGGACCTTTCAGTCCGCAGGCTGACGCTCTATCCACTGAGCCAAACCGGTCAGGGCTGAACATTTTTTTATATTGTCTTTATCTCCTTTGTTAAAATGTTGGCTCAGGATTTTTGCCTTTTTTAAAATAACTTATTATTTTAACCTATATCAGGACACTTCACAGTCTGAGATATATATTTGAATTTCACTCATTCCTCTATAACTCAACTGACTTCTTTCCTGTGTGCAACTATAGGGTTTTTTGTTGGTTTTTTTAATTGTTTTATTGCTTAAAGTATTACAAAGGGTATTACATTTCATAAGTTTATAATGGTCTTTATTATCCATGAATGAGTGAGATCATGTGGTATTTTTCCTTCATTGACTGGCTTATTTCACATAGCATAATGCTCTCCAGTTCCATCCATGCCGTGCAACTATAGGTTTTTAATACTGTAAGGAAAACTGATTTTCTCAATTTTTATTCTATGTACAATTTAAGCCCATGTGTACCTTATACTTACAGGTTTTATATACATGGTTAACATTCTCCACCATTCTTCTATAAGTCTAAGCATTCAAAAATACATTAAGTGAATTCTAAGTTCATAGTCTTTGTTAATTTACATCATATAAATACCCTCATTGTGTATAGTTTCAAACTGCCAAAATGATGGCACTGAACAAGGGTATATTTCAGTAGCAAATCATTATATTTTACTAGAGGCCCAGTTTACGAAATTTGTGTACAAGGCAGTGGGGTGGGAGCAGGTCCCTCAGCCAGGCCTGCACCCTTTCACAATCCAGGACCCCTCTGGGGATATCCAACTGCTAGTAAGGTCCAATTGGGCCTAAACTGGCAGTTGGGCATCCCTATTGCAATCCGGGACTGCTGCCTCCTAACTGCTTGCCTGCCTGCCTGCCTGCCTGATGCCCTTAAAATGCACGCCTTCCTGCCTGAGTGCCCCTAACCACACTTCAATCCTGATATTATGACCTCTGAAATAGTGGTGTCCTGGGACTGTCTTACATCTGTTCTAGCCTTGGACCTGGGGCACTGGAACCTCTTATTAATTTTTCCTGTACACTGCTTACTTTCAGACAATTGCATGGAAACAGTGTATTTTGTAGAATAGATGTTTGTATCAGATCATCCCCATGGGACCACAGTCAAAATTCATTTCCTTATCATTCTGTGTTTTTAGGTTTTTGTCAGAAAATGGAAGATAAGGTGGCAACTTCTGTGTAGAGTGTATCTGTGGAAGGACAGTCACAGGTCAGGGCTTCTAACACAGCTCCAGCAAGCCAGAAAGCCCTTCTGTGTAAGTGTTGTTTCTCAGTGGTAAAATATACCCTGCACCTGACTTAGTTAGAAGCAGCATTTGTTGTACAGAAAGCATTCTTTGGAGATTCATGTGTGAAAGTCTTCTCTGTGAGTGACAATCCTCACCAGTACTCAACACCATAGTATTCATATGGGAGAAAAGCAGTATCAGTGAAG